GAGTTAATACACACTTTCTTCTTATTGATTTATGTTCCAAATTCATCTTTAAAAATATGGGGGTGTGCCTAAAGAAACCAAGCAAGCTCTAATGTAAGAGGAAGGTTATGAAGTTACCTGGGGATTTGGCTAAACATAAGAGGATGTTAAATATTAAAAAACAAACAAACAAACAAAACAGGCCTGGCCAAAACGGGCAGCTGCAGCGGGCCCCTGAGTCAGACTGTGGAGCCTCCACTGCTTTCCTGAACACTGTGACCCGCGACTCCAGGCCCCACCTCCTTTTGGCTGGCCCGCACCCCAGATCCGGTCCGGGGGCTCGACAATAGGATGAGCGGCTGGAGGCAGAAGGAGGAGCCCCCTTAGCCGCACCTGGCCAACGCGGCCCTCAAAGCCTCTGTGTGGAGCAAGGTGCTGCGAAGCGACGCGGCCTGGGAGGACAAGGGTGAGTTTTTAGAGGTGATCTACCGGTTCCCGCAGATTCTCGCTGTGGCTCTAGGTGTCATCTGGGGAGTGTTACCATTGGGGTTTCTTGGGAATAGCAGGGTTCTGCCTGATCAATGCAGGAGTCCTGTACCTCTACGTCAGCAACTACCTACAGATAGATGAAGAATATGGTGGCACATGGGAGCTCACGAAAGAAGGACTTCTGACATCTTTTGCTTTGTTCATGGTCATCTGGATAACCTTTACACTGCCGTCCACTAGGACTGATGGTGTACCGTCCCCACCTGCTCCCTGTCGGGTCCAAAGGACTCTCTTAGTTACAGCACGAAACATGATTATAGGGGCACCTCAGCCACATGGAACCCGGAAGACCCACGTTTCCTGGACCGAGAATCAGTGTGTTGGGCGTCAGTGTTTTCTGCCAGGGTTGTGACCTGAAACTTTTTAAAGAACCATCCACGTTTGGGAAAGCATTTCTAATTGTCCATCACCAATCATTTCTTCTTGGATACCATCATTGGGAACACTTGTTTGCAGATTGAAGCTGTCGTTTTATTTGATGCATCTCTGGATCCGGATGAAACATTAAATTGTCTTCCTCACAAAAAAATAAAATAAAATAAAATAAAACCCAAAACAAAAAAACAAAACAATAACACTGTAATTTGATTTATTTTCCTGATCAAATGGTGTCTAGAAAAATCCAGAAGAACTAAGCAGTTCTTTTCTTTCCCAAACTTGTAAGTATCTTTACCACACAGATAAGACACATGTTTCTTTTTTAAAGCTGAATTCCCCAATTTTGTGTTTTTAAAAATTAAGAGCAAATTCTCCTGAGATAAGCTTGCCATGTCTATTTGAGTGTTGTTGTTGATTGTTTGGTTTTCTGGTCCCCTGAAGCAAGGTTTTGAAAAGCAAGAAAATATTGATTCAATAGGCACCCAGTTTAAATTCAAAGATATGGTTTGTTATTCATAAACTGTTGTTGAGTTACTCATTGGCCAACAATAGGTTAGGACTCAAGTTATACTTCAAATACAAGAGTATTATATGGAAAATATTGTCAAAAGCTGCTCTTCAAGTTATACTTTGCACCTGACAGAAGAATGTCAGTATTCTGAAACTTATCCAAATTATTAGAAATAATCAACATAATATTTTCTAAAACACTCAATTGCAACACAAATGGTAAAACAGATACCTAAATCGACATAAATATAATTTTCAGTTCCACTTTGCTTGCTTTTGACAACTGAAAATGTCTGACATGAAAAGAAATGCCAGGAGAATGAGAGAATAAATACAATTCTTATAAACATGATTATACATATAACTATAATGTTAACATCGACATAAAATTGGTATTTTCTATAAAAATTAATTTCAACTAATAATCATCAATGAATAATAAATGAAGACATCATATTTACATTGATAGTAAAACTATTAGATTGTCAAATTTCTCTTAGCAATATATTTTTGGATATGTCTCCTTGAGCAAGGCTAAAAAATGAAAAAAATATGTACAAATTGGACTAAAACAAACTAAAAAATTTTACACAGCAAGGAAAATCATTAACAAAACCAAAAGATAACCTACTGAATGGGTAAAGATATTTGCCGATGATGCATCTAATATCCAACATATATAAGCAACTAATACAACTTAACACTAAACAACAACAACAACAACAAAAACACCCCAAAACAATTTGATTTAAAAATGGGCAGAGAACCTGAATAGACATTTCTCCAAAGAAGACATATAGATGGTCAATAGAAAATGAAAAGATACTCAAATCATCTAATCATCAGGGAAATAGAAATCAAAACCACAATGAGCTATCACTTCACACCTGTCAGAATGAATGGCTATCATCAAATAGACAACAAATAAGTGTTGGTGATGATGTCGAGGGAAGGAAATCCTTGCGTACTGTTGGTGGGATAATAAATTTGTACAGCCATTATGAAAAGTAGTATGGAGGTTTCTTAAAAATTAAAATCAGAACTACCATATGACCCAACAATTCCACTTCTGGGTATTTATCTGAAGAAAGCCAAAACACTAATTTGAAAAGATATATGCATCCCTATGTTCATGACAGCATTATTTACAATATCCAAGATATGGAAGTAATCTAACTGTCCATTGATAGATGAATGGATAAAGAAAATGTGGTATAAATATACAGTGGAATATTAGCCCATCCTAAAAATAATAAAATCTCCATTTGCATGAATGGACCTAGAGAGTATTACGCTAAGTGAAATAAGTCAAACAGAGAAAGACAAACACTATGATTGCATTTATATGTGGAATCTAAAAAACAAAACAGCCGAAACCGGTTTGGCTCAGTGGATAGAGCGTCAGCCTGCAGACTGAAAGGTCCCAGGTTCAATTCCGGTCAAGGGCATGTACCTGG